TGTGTGTGTGTGTGTGTGTGTGTGTGTGTGTGTGTGTGTGTGTGTGTGTGTGTGTGTGTGTGTGTGTGTGTGTGTGTGTGTGTGTATGTGTGGGGGGGGGGTCACGTGTTCCCGTCTCTTCTTCACTAGCGCAAGAAACGGGCGCGGGGTCGACGATAAACTGTCGGCATTATAAAGCAGATGTTCATGCATGACGACACTGTAATAACACAAACTACGTCATAGATTTGGCAGGCACATTGCGCAACCATTGGCCTCGTTGATCCATCGGCGTGCACATTGAGATGACGCGATGATAAAAATATTCGAAAAGACCGAAATGTCTGCTGTAAACGAAGACAGAAACATATGCGAACGTTTTTGTTGTGTTACATTAAAACTCTGTTACCAACGCGGTGAGCCACGTTATGCGGCACTAGGTAAATCACGAGATGGCGCAAGAATAATGTTATTAATTCTCTGCCCATTAGCCGGTCCAAACTACAGCCCAAGTAGTTTTCTGCGAATTATACTGTGGTGATATACCGCTGCTTCTCACATTGCAGCCCCAGCTAAATATGGTCCAACTGGTTAGTACCGGATCACTACTGTAAATGTGTTCGTGTCGATGCGAGGTCCATCCGTTACTGTTGCTACCCATGTAGCGGCTTTGTTTACTGCATGATTCATCAGCAATCAACGACTGCCAACGTATAGATGTGTGTGATGACTGCCAGAGTGTTTTATGAACGCGGTGGTTCTTCTATTGTTTCCATTCTCATATTAGTGGGGCAGATAACATTGTATGACAATCTGAATGATTTTTTCACCTAATCTGCCCTACTATATTGTTCTATTTTCCTATTGCTGAAAACGTGCCTGCTATTCTACGAAGGTCATTCGAGCAACGAGGGATTCACTGCTCGTAATTGTGAAAGCCAGGTTTTTTTGCAATTTGAGAAAAAACTCATAGTCCTTGCCGCTAACAAGCGAAGCACGGCACCTATCGTCAAATATCAAACGATCATTAGTTGAAAATTCTGAGTTCTTAATACTGATGCCTAATCGCACAATAAACATAATTACAATATATATATATGTATTACATTATATGAAATATTCCTGTAATGACGAAATTGTTCCAAAACAGTTCTAAATACTGATGCCTAATCGCACAATGAACATAATCACTATATATATATATATATATATATATATATATATATTACATTATATGAGATATTCCTGTAAAAACGAAATTGTTTGTTTGCGTTTGATTTTAGTTCTTTTGCTAATATCTGCATGATCATTCATGCAGAGTCGATCCATGTAACTTAACAGCCACGAAATACTGGCCAATTCTACTGACTTAATTAACACAATTTAGTCTGAATTGTAAACAATTAATGCTATTCGAGCCCCCGTAGCCGTCAAAAGACCAGATTCAAAACTTGCCGCGTGTATGTAAAGGATACTCGTAACCACCGCAGAATAACGTGCGCGTATCAGGAAACGATAAAATTTATTTCTGTAAATGAAAATTTACATTGCACATGTCACCCTAACGTGATCGCGGTTATCGGAAATAGTTGGTCGTCGATCGAAAGGCTTCTTTCTGGCGACTGTTGATGTAATAGCCGAAAGGTTATTCAAGGTGACTTGAGTGTAGTATTGCAACACTATCTAATATATATTTGAGTTCGTATGTATGTATGTATGTATGTATGTGTATGTATCTTCCCTATAGGCGGCCAAACCGCCCAAGCGATCTGGATGCAATTTTCACACGGCCATCTGTTATACCCGGGGAGTGTTCCTAGATGGAAAAAATCTGTCAAACCGTCAAACTCACCGAAAAATCCGTGAAAAACCCGTCAATTCGTCAATCTTCACACAATGTTAGCACTCACTGTACAGTGCTGCCACACACACATTTCTTGCCCTCACCTCATGATCTCATCAGCTGCTGGTATTGTGAAACCGAAACCGAAATCAATACTAAAACAGAGCATAACCAGGACCAGTTCAGAGGTACTACTCACTCTGAGTTCAGAGTCAGTTCAGATGCTACGATCTCAGAATGCATTGTACCATTCCAAAGCTATGCTTTTTCTGATTCAATACAAAAATTTCTTAATTTCAATGTGCATGGTTGCGCGCCAAGCATTCACTAGACAATATCCAGTGGACACAGACCCCACTCGCTGGCCTGTCTCTATCTATACTATATATATAATTTCTTTTATTCGTGGTACGATCTCACAATGGATAGCTGTACGTGGGAAGCTCAAGAGTTGGATACGCCAGGAATCTCTACATATTTGCACCAGAGAATAACACGAAAAACATTGTTTATCAAGAGGCTTTGAAATGAAAAGTCCAACCCATTCGTACATGCTGTTATATAATAATCACTTTTTGTCATTTACACCATATTACTATTATGTCCCAGGGGTTCTAAGTTGGGTTGTGCTGTCATATAAATGTCATACGTAACAGTTTTTTTCCATGCTTATTATCTTATTAGACTGATTTCTAAATATTGATATTGTGTGCAATGTTATTGTCGATTTTTACCCAATGTTCCTATTGCGTCCCATTATTAGTAGTATGAATTAGTAGCACGATTTTACCCAGCGCAGCGGGTACCCGCCAGCTTTAGTTCTCAATATTATTATTTGATGTTCGTATGTATGTACTGTATGTATGTATGTATTATTTATTTATGTATGTAGTGTTATGTACTCGATGTATGTATGTATGTATGTACGTATGTATGGTATGTCATGTATGTATGTATGTATGTCACTGTATGTATGTATGTATTGTACTGTTACTCGCCCTATTGTATGTATGTATGTCTTATGTATGCTAATGTATGTATATGTATGTTATTGTATGATGTATGGTATTGTATGGTACTGTATGTATGTATGCCTCATGTATGTATGTACTGTCTGTTATTTTCCCTATAGGCTGCCAAACCGCCCAAGCGATCTGGATTGCAATTTTCGCGCAGGGCATCTCTGTTATACCCGGGGAGTGTTCCTAGATGGAAAAAACCTGTCAAACTCACCGAGAAAATCCGTGAATATTCGCCGCTCAATTCCTGAATCTTCACACAATGTCAGCACTCACTGTACAGTGCTGCCACACAGAGAAAAATCGATTCCCTCACCTCATCCGGCTGCTGGTATTGTGAAACCGAAACTAATACTAAAACACACCACAACCAGCACCAGTTTCACCAGTTCAGAGGTACTACTCACTCATCTCAGAGGTTCAGTTCAGATGCTACGATCTCACAATGCATTGTACCATTCGAAAGCTATGCAGTTTCTGATTCAGTAGGAAAATTTCTTCATTTCAATGTGCATGGTTGCGTGTCTCTATCTATACTATGAGCAGCTAATATGTCATTATTAGCTCCTGATACTATATTCCTTTTATTCATGGTACGATCTGACAATGGACAGCTGTACGTGGGCAGCTCAAGAGCTGGAGACGCCAGCAATCTCTACATATTTGCACCAGAGAATAAGACGGAAAACATTCTTTATCAAGAGGCTTTCAAATGAAAAGTCCAACCCATTCCTACATGCTCTTATAATAACTTTTTGTCATTTACACCATATTACTATTATGTCCCAGGGGTTCTAAGTTCGGTTGTGCTGTCATATAAATGTCATACGTAACAGTTTTTTACGTTTTTCCCATGCTTATTATCTTATTACACTCATTTCTAAATATTAATATTGTCTGCAATGTTATTGTCGATTTTTACCCAATGTTCCTATTCTGTCCCATTATTAGCACTATATGCGGGTACCCGCAGCTAGTATACGTATAAGTCACTACTTGAAATATTGTTTGTTTAATATCGCGGAGCGAGAGACAACAACAACACGGCAAGCGTAGTTTGTATGAAGACGTTGTATTTTGACGATCAATACAATATGCACAATAAGTTGTCTATACACAGCTAGCCGTCACGTATCAGCACTCCCCCTTCTGTACTTCTATTGACTCTTGAATGTATGAACTCTGAACAACTTGAAGATTGAATTGCCCTCGCCACATTGTAATGAGCATCCCGTATTTCGCTTCGTGGTTCACCTCTGAGCTTTTAAGACCCCCCCATCCCTCCACTTGACTCGTACGCGTGTTTCGTGGCTGTATTTCACCCAAACGACTTCCGGCGACTCATCCGCAGATGGTTGCAATAATAAAGTGGTAGCCGTGTTTCACGCATCGAATAATTGCCGACACTCCAACACAGCTGTGGTCATCACACGCGCTCTCTGCCGCCCATCAGAGTCGTAACGTTCGGCCACAGAAGATTTACCGCTTTTTTCTCTTCACGCAGGCGTACATCTTCCGCAGTCTGCAGGCGCCGTTCGACAACGACTTCTACCAGTGTACTACGATGGGCGTCTACACAGAGGAATGGCAGGAGAGGCTGTACACAATCGCCAGTCTCGTCACACTCTTTCTGCTGCCGCTGCTGATCATAGCCGTCTCTTACTTGATGATATTCTACACAATCGCCGTAAAGGCAAACAACAACTTGACAGCGAAAGGCGAAGGTGAGCGAGTTGTGTGCCTCGAGCGCACGCGCATTGCGCGTACATGCAATTCCACTTGTATGTTGATGTAAACGCGCTGAATATATCGATGAGAATCAATGGAATGAAATAAAACATAAATTACAATTAAGTGAGCGAATCAGCGGATAGCCATTTGTTAATAACAGATAAGGCCAATGACAGCTCCGAAAAGCAGCTCAGCAGATGGAGAGAAACCGAAATCTAGCAAGCAAATAAACAAATATCTGAGCCACGGCTGGAAAGAAGAGATGGAATTAGAGAGAGAGAGAATGCGAGCAGGATATAGAAATAGAGATAGATAGTTAGATAAAGAGTGAGAGAGGGAGAGAAAGGAACATGACCGAAATAGGTATATATAAATAGTCATGTAGGCGCGCGAATGTTGCGGCTTTTCGCTAAACCCTTTCGCTGGTTTACTACGTTTGGAAAATTCTTATATAAAACTCTTTCCGTATTCTTATCCGTTTTCTCTGGGCGCTCAGCCCGACTCGCCAGCGCATGCGCGTATCGTAATCCCGGCCTTCCCCGCAGATGCAACAGGACAGACAGATGCAAAAATTCTTATTCGCAAAATAATTATACGGTCAGATAAAACTCGCTCAAGATCTGATATTTGACGGTTTACGCATCATTCACTGAATCCCCGTGGCCAACTTAAGGTAGAACCCATAGAAATAATATACTAGCTAGACTAGTGTCTCTATATATTTCTATGGTATAAACACTATAGTGGCAAGATGTACTATTATGCTATTTCACTGCTACCGTCACCAGGACGCTGATCATTAACTCACGGCATACAAATATCACATGTAATCATACACGGGGGCATTTTTCGTCTTCATTATGCCTTGTCTTTCTGCACGCCTGCTGGGTGATTGTTCATGACGTTTTTGTGATGGCGCTTGTCAATACAGTAATTATGTACAAGTAACACGATGTGCTGGCAAAATGGCTCAATATGATACACATATGACGTATGACGGCTCGATATGACGTACATTTTCGCTTAGCTACGCGAGCTCTGCTCACTAAAGTAGCATGCATGGTCATAGTCATAGCTACCGGGATGACACCGAAGTTTCTTCTCATAATTTAGCATTTTATTAACTAACATGCAGAAGTATTTTCCGCCATGTTTACGACCTTGAAAACCTAAACATGATATGGGATTCCTTAACGCGAACCAAACTTTTCAATACGTTATTATGTCACTAGAAATGCACTCGAGCGAATATTTTTCAATATATTGTGATAATAATTACTAGAAGATGGTAAGTGGTGCGTAATGTACGCGGCGGAAGCCCCCTTGATATTAATAAAATACGTGTGAAACTCCATCCTTATCAACTAAATAATTTCAGGAACACTTTTTGCTATATATCACGATTTCTTTGATGACAAATTAATTAAAGGGTGAATTAACTGGCCGTATACAGGGCATAATTATTCTGTTATCAAAACTATTCGCAAATTCCGCGTGAGCAAATTTTAGCCACCGGAGAATCGACCGCGTGGAGGACAAATGCTTATACGGGCAGATGCTTTAGCGAGAGATTTTGTAATTACGTGGAAAACTGCGACTCGAGTTACGAGACTCAATAAACGCATTAGTGTGAGGCTCGGCGACAAGGAAAATGCGTTATTTTTAACTTTTACGCGCCACGAAAATAAACCCATGTTTTGTTTCGCGACTTCCGTAACACAATCAAACATGCCCACAAGCAAACTGTTAAGTCACAACAAAAGAAGTCAGACGTAATTGCTGGGTACTTGCAACCTAATGGAATTAGAAACTAAATAAAGATTACTGTATTAGATTGTTAGAACCGTAATGCACAGATGTGGGCTGAAGCCGTGGGGTAAGTATCTCCCGCTTGCTTTTTTATCCCTCCTACCGCGCACACACAACGAGGCACGTATGCGCGCACGCACGACACATCTACCAATTATTGCGTGTAGGCATGGAAAGCGAGCGAGCGCACAGGCAAGAAGGAATTAATAGCGATACAGGGAGACGAGCGTACGATTGTGAGAGACGTATGGTGGGAGACAAAAAGCGAAAGCGATAGGGGATCATTAAGAAGACAGGTATAGATAATATAGACATATAGACACATACATGTATTGACAAAAAGTATATATACATGTGTCACTTCGAGAAAGCTAGAGCGTGAGCTTTTCAGTACGGGTAAAGAATGCGAGAAAGTATTGATATAACAGAAAAAATCCCAAAAGGCAAAAACCAGTATAGCAAATAGGTATTGTATAAACATTCCGTCTACGTCCGGTTAAACGGTTCCCCTACATCCGTTAAATCAGGAATATAATTGTCAGTGTGCTCTTGGTTAAATACACAAAAATCTGCGTGAACTAATATCTACATAGAGCCAATTAAGGCAAATGCAAAAGAATCTTCTTGATCGGCTTATACCTGTCCTCAATGAGAAAAACTGACTGCACGAAAAAACTCACAATTGATCAACGCATCAAGGCGCCGGCAGCATGCAGCACAGGAGTTCATATACAGGTCAGGACGAACATGAGAACTACGACAGCACAATATTCCTAAAATTCAATCTGATGAGATATAAGCTATATTGGAATATATGGGGGGGGGCGCTTAGTGGGAGCTAGTAATCTGACAAGCTCTTTGGAACTACGTCGCGTAAATAATACTCGCCTAACCTAACCTATGAGCGACAATTCTAGATAAAACAGACGTGGCGCATAAACGTGCGTCACTCACGCACAACAGGTCCGCGGGCATCACCTAAATTACGCCGGATTGGCGCTCCTAAAATGCACTCCTGAAACATCCAGCTTTTAGACGATTTGACATGTCACGCGTTATTTAATCATGCACGAATAACAATATACTTTTGTATTGAAGTTTCCTGCTGCGTGCACGGAAGCATAATGTTAATGCTTTATACTTATAATAATTAATAACCATTTAATCATTATTTACTCATGATCATTTATCACAATCAATTATCATTTAATTATTATTAATCATTATTAATTATTAATGCTTTGTTAATCTCTAATTCTTAAATCTTTAATATTATTAATTAATTAATTTTTTATCATTCTCTAATATTATCCTTGATTCACTTTCTAATCCCCTTTTATTATTTCGTAATCTTTAATTTGTTTAATGCTTAACGTCTAATGCTTAGTGTTGGTCATCATCAACGATTATAAAAATACGCGGTAAGGCTTGTGTTTCCTTATGGGAATTTAGTTAATTAAATTATTTTTGGTACGGATTGCTTTAATACTTTCGTGTATCGCATGTCACCTGTGTCACTGAACGCTACACAATAAATTCAGGTGATTAGCGGCATACGAATTTAATAAAGTAACCTGTTCGAAAGAATCGCGTTAATTTAGCGTACGTGGGTAATTTTACGTGCTGCGTCGCCAATTATTTTAAATAAACGAAATATGCGTAGAATATGTTGAACTTGATTTTGTATCCGTATTCTACCGTAAAATAGCGAGTCGCACAAACACTATTTTTTGAAGTGCAAATTGTTTCGTAAGCATATAGACACATCGCATGAGTAAAAATCAACGGAATTAGATTGCGGCTGCGAGATAACTTTTCCCCGTACCTTAACGGTCCGGCGCACGATAGCTATGCCGCGAAACGCCACCTGTAGGCTGCATCGCCACTTATTTCCTCGTATCTTTCTAGTTTGTCGATATACAAAGGTCTTTTTCGATCTAAGATGGCGAGCGCCTCGAGATCCGGCGATCCATCAAGGCAGTAACCAGATGAGACGGGATACTAGAGAAGCGTTGCCGAAAGGAGGTGTTGACCCGAAGTGCTGAGCGCAGATCTTGCGCGCCAGTTCCGCGGCAAGGCGCACGCGACCGCGGGAACGTCCTACGACAGTATGCAGCGCTGGCAGCTATGGACCGTGCGCCGAATGCTTAGGCCGGCGCACGCATCCATAGCTGCCAGCGGAACCGTCCACAATTTTAGTGGGGGACACAGAGGGCGACATTTGACGTGAACAGGTTCATTGTTATAAAAACATAATGTCTCTGTTCGTAACGAGCTGGCTCCGCGGAAATCTCACAGAAAGACTGACGAAATTTTCGCGTTCGCGACCATTGCCAGTAATGGAAATTGGCTGCAAGGACCAAGGCTATATAGACTGGACTCGCTCCACACTCGATTATCCCATCGAGTGACTAAGCTAAGCCGAGAGGTGGAAGCGAGTGCCTGTCTTGGGCTATAGGCGGCGCGCAGGCGCGCACTGCTTTCCAACTCCCGTACGAGCCTCGCCATTGGAACGTTTGCAAAAACGTTGCAGTGTTGCGGCTGACAGCCATTTCCATTACTGGGCAAGGTTCGCGAACGCAAGAATTTCGTCAGTCTTTGTGTGATTTCGCATGACACGAGCTCGGTTACGAACAGAGACATTATGTTTTTATAACAGTGAACACTGTTGTTCAAGAGGAAACAAAGATGGAAGCTGTTGAATGTGTATTCGTGCTGTGAAAGTTCAAATGAAGTGAGCGTCGAGCGAATTTTGGCAGCACGCTTTCCTACCTGCTATATATATTAGATGTAAGCGTGGCAACAGTACGCGCCGCGAGAGCAATGGCAGCCGGCAGCGTACGTTGGACGTAGGATTTCACGGAATTTACAGGAAACTCGGCAATAATAGGTCAAAGAGAGTAGGCCTATGTAAGAAACATGAAGAAGTTGGTAGTAAATAGATTTCGTATTTAGTTAGCATTATATTTATTATATTTAGTAGGAGTACTAGTAACACTAATAGGAGTCGTCATTATTAATATTAGTAACTTACTAGTACCGGTAACACAGTTTGTCATTATTACTATTACTATTAGCTCCTGTAGTAACTAGTACTAGTACTAGTACTAGTCCTGGTACTTAGTAAGTACTAGTAGTACTTACTAGTAATTATGTAACATGTACTTGTAGTAATAGAAGTATTCGTAGTTGTGGATACAATTCGATGCTCGCATTGGGGATCGTGTTAGATATCAATATATAATAGGTGCCTGTAGAATCACGAAGCTGTACGAGTCGGAGCACTCCGGAATTTCACGTGAATTCTTACGGAACACTTACAGTTCAAGCTTCCCACTGTGACTGTTCACAGTTTAGGCACTTCTGCCACCATGTTGAAATCTTTAGTTTGATGAGGAGTGTAACTATGCAGAGATACAATAGCAGATAAGAGTGACAATGAAACTAACTGTAAACTGGATTTATTCGAATAGCGAAGACATGTTGTATTGTTCCTATATATCGGATCTCTTTAACTCAGCCCAGTCACACGCTACGCATGACGCTATAGATTGTTACAATGTGAACAAAAAACTCCGTTATTACAGCAAAGAAAGCGGCGCCTAGTAGCGAACAAAGAATTGGGAGCATTTCTAGCCAGTCTCACACTAACTGGGTAGTGCGATCCTCGTGCAATGGCAGAACTGCTCAATTCAGCAAAAGCCGGCTTCAAGCTACTCCTAGGAAGGACCTTGAGTAATGGGGTTGGGAAGAGGGCAGCGAAGTTGCAAAAGTGCGCCGCTAGGGCGGCGTTTGAGCGCTTCGCGCGGATATCCGGCTGCAGATCGTCGAGCACTACTTTGCTTGCACCGAGATGCGATTTATTGGGCGGGGCAGGGACGAGTAGTAGCTGTTTCTGAAATTCTGCATGGCTCTCACTCAAAAGCTACACGTGATAACATGAAGTTATTTTGCAGGTATTAAGAACATAATCGTTACTTGAAGAAACAACCAACATGAAAACTCTAATTCTCGAGATGTGACTGAATTACACCCCAAAAAAGTAATGACTCAAAAACTTGCCCCGATTACGGACAATAATATGTTGTTATACGCTAGCATTGTTACACTGACTTATAAAATAAAGGTAGATTCTGATTTTATATATATGCGTGAGCCATCAAATTCGAAGACAACCACAACATTGCGCGGCTATTCCTAGCTAAAGCACTGATTAAGTAAGTGTATATAACCTCATTCAATGGCTAATATGAGTCCTTATACCAGATGCATACTATGGCTGCAGCGCTAACCGTCGTGCCTGTTCAATACCACCATAACGCTGCAACATTTGATATGCAATTCTACTCCAAAGGCTCAATCTTCGCTCAGGGCCAAAAGCGCATTTCTGCGAGCTCCCGTGTAAAGCACCGCGGGGTCACTTTACTATAACTTCACACGACGTGCCAGTATCGCATATCCTCTGGATCATTTAGCAGAGCACAAATGATATGCAAAGTTGAGACGCGTTTTACGACGCATGGGGAATGCTCTATTACCCATGTCTCCTGTGCACACGCCTATCAGAAAAAAACAGCATCCTCGTCAATTCATACAAAGTGAACAATTTAATACAATATAAACAAATATTCGAATGCATACCTAACTCAATCATAAGCTACGACGGAAACGACATCTGTACTGACATACGGAATAATTAGATGCGCATAACTGAATAATTATAAACCCACTTCAAATGCTTGAAAAGAAGTTGCCCTCTAGATTCCACATATAGTCCAATATTTTTAGCTAAAACCCGGACATTTGTCAAAACAAGCTGAATTTTTCAGGATAGGTTCAGAAAAAGGTGTAGAATAACATACTAAAAGTCCCCGGAAATCCCCCCTGTGCGTTTTCCAGAATCCAAGATGGCGTCCAAAATTGCCCCCATTTAGGGTTTTTCCAATAACTCTGGCTCCAGTCGAGCTAGAAACATGAATTAAATGTCTAATTACATGTTTTAATGCCCAAGAAATCTACTTAGGTACTTTTTGTGAAGTTTCAAGTGATGCAAGTACCCTAAGCCAAGATGATAGCGATAGGCGATCCCTTACACTCTACCCCCGCCAAACATCCCATGAATTTTTCCACAACTTAAACAATATAAAATCAATAACAAGTGCTTCCAAACGTACATCATGAACATTGTTGTATATTTAGCCATATACCTAGAAAAGCTACATTCAACTGTTAAAATATCTATCAAAACATTCAAATATAATCAACCCTTCAAATACTGAGAGCAGCATGACACGTACACATAATATCAGGAGTAAGGTAATATAGGATCCTATAGGATAATAATAGGATATAGGATAATAGGATAATAATAGGATAT